ATATATAAATTGATAATTAAATAAAACAATTAATTAATTAATCGACACAATCCACGTTTTTTTTAGCTTTATGTCTAACATATATATATATGTATATATATTTTTATAAATAAAAAAATGTTTCTTTCTAATATAAATTAAATAAAAAGCATAATATGCCTTTAAATACTTTATATTCACACTTATTGCAATAAACCAATAAAGAATGCTTTTACATTCCTCCTTGTACTTTGGCATACATATCCTTTATGCCAATTATCTCACAACATGCTTTTATCGCATGATGACAAACAAGCCCATTATCCTTCATGAATTTTCTTTACAAATATTTTTATATTCTCAAATTGTGTAAAGAAATCATGTAACAAAAACTGAAAAATACAAAGTGATATTAAAAGAGAAGAAATAAATATTATATTATATAGTATTGACAAGTATTTTCTTACCAGTGTGTTCCTTATATGTAGGAATATACATTAATCTTTGACCAGCCCTATTTTTAATCGTCTTTAGGGATGCTTTGGCTTTTGATAACGCAAATCCAGCCAATCCATTTCCATTCCCAGTTACTATAAATGAATTGATTCTAGTCTTACGTGCTAAATTACTGGTCATACAAGTTATCATTTTGTTTTTCAAAATCCAGGTTTCAAAACTTTCAAATGTATCTGCAGAAAACAAAGATATTAATTATATAAGATTCTAATATTTAGAACTGAAACACCAAGAAAAAAAAAATTGAAAATAGACATCGTATCACATGATTTTTGTATGTGTGTAATTTAACCATTATAATCCAATAATAGCATAAATATTAACCTTTTCCAATAAGATCTGATTCAATGCTTCTGCCATCCATTGTAACACTCCTCCAACCACATTCCAATGGTGATAATTTTATTTGCATTGGCCTGGTCTGACTTTGTGGTAATTCCATAAGTTTTTGCTTTCTTTCAAGATTTACAAGCAGTTTTAGCTGTTGAATTAATTCTTTTCCTCTAAACACAGAAGTGTTCAGACGTGTCCAGGAAATTGTATCGGAATTTTTCCCATGCCAATAATTTGCTCCTTATTTAGGTCTCTCTTTTCACTACTCTTCTTGCTCTACCTCTGCGTCTTCCTGCCCATTACTTGATACTTGTGCCCTTTCATAATTCATCTTCAGGTCCTATAGAACAAAAGCACAGTGAAATACAAACTATTTTCTACTGTAAATATAAACTATTATTAAAATGCTATATCCATAAAAGTTCTACTTACTATTCGCAAAGAACATAGTTTCTCACATTATTTAATAAAGTGACTATTTTTAATAAATGTGAATGACTGACAAGTAATAAATTAAACAATATTAAACAATAATATATACCTGAAAAAAATTTCATAATTTTATTAGAATTAAATTGATAAATTAATTTTAAATACATATTATATGTTAATTACATATAATGATTTAGAGACAATGATATATTTCATTTGCGTTACCATTGTTTACAGATTGAACATTTTTATCAAATTATTTACAACTCTACAAATATGTAGCATACGACAAGCCATTTTTAAAATCTATAAAACAAACAACAAAATTGTTCATAGTTTTCACTCTGTTTTGTCATAGTCTGCTTTTAGGCGATCTCTGAAAGCAATGCATCCTATAAACAAAAAAATATAAACATGAACTACGTAGTCAAATCTACGAATGTTTTCAATGGGTAACATAATTTCGGATTGTATTCCATGCCTCCTACACGAAATGTCGATAACATAAGTAACGCAAAATGTTTGTATATATTAAATAAATTTGTAATATAAATAAGTTTTGTGATCTCTCTCTCTCTCTATGTATTTATCTATCTATCTATCTATCTATCTATCTATCAAGTATAATTGATTATTAAAATATATTACCCGATATTATATTATATTATATATTAATCACACATTATCTATCACCATCATCGCCATTATTATATGTAATTTAATATAGTCTTTATCACAACGGTTCATCATTGAAAATAAATTATAACACAAAAAATATTCTAGTTTATTTTTAAATATTATTTTTAAATATTAAATAATATAAGTATTAAAATTAAAATAAAAAATTGGCTCAAATAATAATAATTAAAAATTAACTAAACAATTGATAACTAAGAGCCAATAAAAAGCGCGATAACTGGAGCACAAGAAAAATCCTTTCTTTTTAATTATTAATATATTTCAAATTATTAGTATATTTCGAATTACTCGTCACAATACATACGAACGTTTCGGATTATCTTTTAATCTACCTTCAACGTGACATTAATATTATTACACATTCGAAAATATTAGACAATGATATGTGAAAAATTATATAAATCAGATGCAGATAGCATTTGTAATATCTGCATGCCGATTATGAAACGATTTATATAATTTCATATTTATTAATATTTATATAATTTTATATGTTATTGTCTAATATTTTTTAATGAGTAATATAATGATACGCCGTTAAATTTCTTTTCTAGATGCGATCGCGATCAACACCGAAAATTATTTATTATAACTATATGATTAATTAACTTTTATAAATAACACATAATTAATATCTATATACAAATCGCGACAAAAATTCTCTATCGCATTTAATCGTAATTTATTCATTTAATCAACTAAGAATTATAGTAACAGAAATCTAAAATAATAAATTATTATTTCGATATAAAATCGATTTTTACGAGCAGAAATTATTTCTTTAGCATTTATAGATATTTATAGAGTCAAATACAATATATCTGCGATGCTTTATTTTTCAATCATTGAAATATTTTGAATTGTGAGAACGCACAATAAAATAATTGAATCATGAATCTAAACATAATGAAAGACTCTATACATCAATCTTTTAATAAATAATCCTATAATTAAAAAATCTATGTAATCTAAAATACTTTTATATACTTAAATATATTCCATATATACATAATATGTATATATTAAAATACGTAAAATATTTCGATGACGAACAAACAATATAACCGACCTTGGTGCCGTAATAGCGCGCTAATGTTTATATGCTATATAGTCTTGAAAAATGTTTCGATAAAAAAATAATAATAACAAGGTCTCTTTCGGACTAATTTTTTCGGTTCTATTATTATTCGCGCGTCGACACTCAAAGAGTAAAGTAGTGGTATACAAGACGCTCCGTTAAATCCTTTTCTAGACGCGATCGCGATCAATATCGAAAAATTATTTGCTGTATTTATTATATTATATTATAATATAAAATAAAATATAATATAATACAATATATTTCGATATGACGAACGGACAATAACACGGTGTTCGGCCTTGACGATGTAAACAATAGCGCGCTAGTCATACGGTTTTGGTCATTCACAAAGGGACACTCGAGCAATAAAGATCGTAGTGCGAAATACGTCGTATATGTTTCTTATGTTTATATGCCATAGTCTTGAAAAATGTTTCGGTACAAAAATAATAATAACACGGTTTTTTGAATTAATTTGTTCGGTTCTATTATCATTCGCGCGATGACACTCAAAGAGTAAAGTAGTAGTATAAGACGCTCCGTTAAATCCTTTTCTAGACGCGATCGCGATCAATATCGAAAAATTATTTGCTGTATTAAAATATGTAAAATATAATATAATATAATATAATATAATATAATATAATATAATATAATATGATATAATATAATAAAAATATGTATTGTTTACGCCAAGATTGATATTATTATCTGTTTGTCATCGAAATATCTTACGTACGTTAACATATTTATATTACCTTATATTGTAATATAAAATATAATACAATATAATACAATATATTTCGATATGACGAACGAACAAACACAGCATTCGGCCTTGACATAAACAATAGCGCGCTAGTCGTACAACGTACGGCCTTCGTATCATTCATAAAGCGACACTCGAGCAATAAAGATCGTAGTACGAAATACGTCGTATATTCTTAAATTAATTATTAATTAAACGATTATTGTATCATGACTTTTAATTATATTAAACTTTCGACTATAATCGTATTAATATACATGTATTGCATATATATATATCAATAATGAAAACAACAAATTCATTACGCGTAATAATTAGTTTTACAAAATGAATTATTTTGAGTTTTATAAAGAAGATTTATAATTATATATCTATTAATTATATATTATATTATTTATAAAATTATATATAATATAACCCTCCCACGGGGTACACCTTGTCGCGGTGGGAGGGCTTAGTACTTGGATGGTGCCTTGAAGTTTATTTTAAATTTTTTAATTTAGAATAAATCTCAAGGAGCCTGAAGAGGAAGCTAAGTACCCTTTCGCGTCGTCGGTGCCGTCAACGTGTCGCGGATGGCGGCGTCTCGTTACCGCGTTTTCGCGTTTAGCTTTTTCGCGTCATCGCGTCATCGCGTTTTCGCGTTGGACTTTCTCGCAATCCCAATTTCATTTATATGTCATCGAGTTGTCATCTTCCGACGTCAATTAACTGGAATGTTCATTGAGTCGTTGCTGCAACGATCTTTGTCTCACGCCTGGTGCAACGCGGCACTTAGGTGATGCCGGCGCGCATGCGGATGCCAGTACTGTGTATGTGGGCGCGCGATTTTGAGCTTTTGCTCAAAAGTCCGGCTGATTGAGGTCACGCTCTGCTTCTGGCTCCAGTTCGGTACGGATCGGTTAGGATTCGATCGATTGCTTGGAATCGTCGTTAATGGATCCCTTCTCTTGTTCCGTCTGAGATAGGATATTAGGCGCGGACAAGAGTCGAGTGAACTCCATTCGCGTTGATTCCATCAATCGATAGTTTTCTTCCGTTTCGGACTTAACTCTTGTTCGGAGGTAAGATGCGTTGAATTCCCGACCTGTTGACTCGAAGATGACTCTTGTAAAAGTGAAACGGGATTTTCGCTCGTACCGAAACCGGGAGTGCCGTTTAAAGTATATATATATTAAATATATACATCGCGCGACAAAACAGAAAATTTTTAATCGTATCGAATAGTGCGGGAGTGCCGTTCAGTATCGCGCGTAAAAGTGCGAAAATAGCGATATAAAAATATCGCACGTGAGTGCGGGAGTGCCGCTAAAAGTATCGCGCGATTAAGACTGAGAGGAGGAGGAGGCCTAGGAGAGGCATCGAGCTTCGGCAGAGCTACCGTTTGGTAAATAGTTTATTTATTTGCAATCACATATATATATATATATATATATAAATTAAATATTGAATATATTTATTATAATTTAAATTAAGCAATTAATCGTAATTTGATTTTTTTATTCATATGATTTAAATACGAATTTTAAAGAAAAAGATTTTTATATAAAATTTATAATCTTGTAAAGGTTTTATAAAGTTATTAAAGAATTATTAGTAATATTTTATTTTATTAATCTGCTATTATTATATGCGTCGGATATAAAATTCAATGCATACAATAATTTTTAAAATATTAATTATTTTGAACATTATTACAATTTAGATCTTCTATTTGTATGTTATAGATCGACGCAACAACCCAGATAATCTGAGAGGAGGAGCAGGCCTAGGAGAGGCATCCTGCACCAGCGGAACAACCTGATGGTGAATATTATTATTTATATTAATTGTATATAAATGAATTAATTAATTTATTAATTTGATTTATGTGAATGATTTAAACAAGAAAAAATTAGGAAAATTTTTGTAATATTTCTTTCTATATAATTCTTTCTAAAGGTTCTACTTGAAAAAATTAATTAATTATAAAATTATTTTATATTTATATATCTATTTATAATTGCGCACATCGGACATAAAATTCAATGAATCCAATAATAAATTTCTTAAAAATATTAATTATTTTAAACATTGATGTAATTTGCATTTTATATTTGTATGTTACAGACAACGTAGCTTCAATATCAATTCCGCTGTTGCGCATCAGTGCGTAAGTGACAACCTTTTATTTTGAAGCAAAGGATTTATAAATGCATGAAGAAATCCATTGCTTCTAACTCTCCGTTGGCGGGACAATACGCGAGTAAACATTAAAGTGAAAAATATTTTTAATAAAGATAGATGATATTAATAGATAGATGATTTTAATAAAGATAGATGATAGATGATTTTTATTGCAATTGTATGATAGACATACATGAAATATTCTAAAATTCTATTATATATCGGTCTCTATAAAAAACAATTTTATAAAAATATAGGTTTTTAATCGATAAATATTTAATCTATAAAATAGAGATATTTCTAACCAATCTGCCAACCGAGAGTTAAAATGCATGCTTTTTATCTTTTATGCATGATAATTTATAACTTGCAATTTTT